GGCACATAACAACAACAACAACAATTATGACTTTAATGAAAGTTTACAGGAAAGTTAGATTTTCATTCATTCATTATTGCACATTTTTACCCCATCTCTCTCCCTTTCCTCTCCCCCAGTTCATTATTTTTTAAAAAAATCATTTGTTGTGCAGTTACCTCCCTCTATTCTAGGCTGTTGTCGTATGTATAATGCCTAAATATGTATTTCTTCTAGATAGTTCTTTCCTTCATCTGTTCCAGTGCAATATTCATTATCCTATTCTCTCCCATATCACCATGTCAGACCTGCTTTATAACAGTGGTGTTATGCAGTATTGGTGGTCCTTTTGTGACTGAGATACTTCACTTAGCATAATGTCCTGCAGGGTCACTCATGTTGTGTAACATTTTATGCATTCCTTTCCCTCCAGTGCTGCGTAGTATTCCATTATATGGATGTGCTATAGGTTTTCCTATCCATTCGTTTGTTGATGGATACCTTGGTTGCTTCCACCTCTTTGCTATTATAAATAAACATGGGTGTGCATATACTTGTTTGGATGGCAGTTCTGGTTTCTTTTGGGGATATTCCCAGTAGTGGAATTTCTGGGTCAAGTGATATTTCTATTTCCCACTTTTTGAGAAAGCACCATACTACCTTCTATAGTGGTTGCACCATTTTACACTCCCACCAGCAGTGATTAAGGGTTCCAATCTCCCCACAACCTTGCCAGCATTTACTGTTTGCTGCTCTGTTGAACTTTGCTATTGTTGCATTTGATTTCTTGACAGCTGTTTCCATGGGTATTGATTGCTGATCCACATATAAAGAAATCTTTGATAACTTCAGTTTCTTCACCATTTATCATAATGTTGTTTATTGGTCCCTTGGGGCCAATATCAGTTGATGTGGACTTTATAGCCTGGAATCGTACTTCCTCTGCCTTCTTTTCCTCCATCACAGGAAAACCTCCAAGGAATTGTGCAGTGGCTCTCCAAGGGGAATCCCTGGGCCAGAAGCATTATCTTGGAATGTGCTAGAAATAGAAATTTCTCAATTTTCCCCAGACTTACTGAATCAGAACTTCTGGGGGTGGGGTCCAAGAATCTATGTTTTAGCAAGGCTTCCAGGTGGTTCTGATGCCCGGAGGTGAGGAGTAATTTACGTGAAGCCATTGGATTTAAGTGTTGTGTCTGGGTGCCCATCAAGTCAGTTCCTACTTACAATGGCCTAACTCCAAGAGAGAAAGATGGGCAGTCTCCTCCCTTAGGATTTACACCCCAGAAAGCCACAAGAGGGCCAGCTAGGAGTCAGTTCCAAATTAGAGGTCATGAGATACAACAGCATAGGACACTGCCCTCACTTCAGGTCTCAATTGCTGTGAAGTCAGAACTGACTTCTAGCTGACTCACCATTGGGTTTCTGAGGCTGTAACTAGCCTGGGAGGGGACTACCCATGTTTCTTCAAAGGAGCCACTGGTGGATTCCAGTCGCCAGGGAGATGCTGCCAGCCTTTGGGTTAACAGCACAACTGCCTGTAGACTGGGCCACCAGTTTTCCAATTCAGTGAGTGGACATAGAACATGCTGCATTAATACCAAAAGATGAAGTCCCTGTATGAGTGGACTGAGTAACAAATTTCCCCACAACTTGATGCCTTAAACAGTGAGGTCAGAAGTCTGGGTGCAGCTTTGCTGGGTCCTCTGTCTCAGGGTCTCTCACAAGGCGGTGACTGGGGGCTCAGGGCTACACACAGGCAGGGTCTGCTTCCCAGCTCACACAGTGGAGTTGGTTGAAGTGAGAAGTGAGCATCTGGAGGGTTGTGGGGTGGAGGTTCTGAGTTTTCCTCTTACTGTTTGACCGAAGGCTACTGTCATTTCCTTGCCACATGGGCCTCTCTGTAGAACAGCTCACAACCCGCAGCCAGTGACATCACATGAGCAAGTGAGTGCTTCTTAGGGCACTCAGGACAGAAGTTGGAGTTGTTTATGATGCAGTCTTGAAAGTGCAGCCTGTGACAGATATTTATTAGAAGCACTTCACCAACTCTATCCTTTGGCTCAGCTTTTCGGCTGAACAGTCACACCACGGCGGTGCCTACTCCGTAGAGTAACCAAGCAGACAAGATCAAAAGGGCAGCATTTGACCAGGAAGAAAGCTCAGAAGGCAGGAAGGAGTAGGACACAAGTATTAATGGAAACAAGAATCAGAAGACGTGGGAAGAGCACAGTTACAGTGTGAATATTGTAATTAATGTCATTAAAATATATGTGTGAATGATTGAGAGGAAAGCCCGTTTGTTCTGTAAACGTCTGTTAAAATCATAATTAAAAGAATAAAAGAAATCCATCAGTAAAACTAGCCCACTCCCCACGCCCAAGGGGAGGGGACTACACAAAGGCATAAATACCAGGAGGTGGGGGTTCTTGGGAGCTCTATTTGAAATCAGGTTTTTACAGTTACTACCTCTGCTCTTGCATTTTGCTTTTAATCCATTGCTGTTGAATTGATTTCCAACTCATAGTAACTCTCCACTAGGTTTCCAAAGCTGTAAATTGTCACAGAAACAGACTCTCCCTCAGAGATTCAAACTCCCAACCTTTTGGTTAGTTGTGCAGCATATGACACACTGTGCTACCAGTACTCAGCACATGGCCTGAGCACAAGTTCAACAGGAGCTAAGAAAGGGAAAGGACTCTCTTGGTGCAATCAAGAGGACATCCTGGAGGAGATGATATTAATAACAGGCCTTCAAAGAATGCAGGAAATGCCACTGACAGAGAAGGTGAAGAGAAGCTAGGAGAAGGCCATAGCACAGCACAGCACAACACAGCATACCATAGGCAAAGGCAATGAGGTGGGAGTAAAACACCTACCAGGTGCCCAAACCATCATCACACAGCAACAACAAGAGAGAATGAAACGGATAATGTTGATGGCAGCCATACTGTGGATGGTTTCCACTGTCAGATGACAGAGCTGTTGCCGTAATTGGAAGAGGACGAGGCCAGGAGCTACAAGAGGATTTCCATCCCAGCTTCCGTTACTACATTCCGTTAGCCCTTCCATCCCCCAGTCTGACCCTGACGTCCACATCTTACCTTCTCTTGCAGTTCGGACGCACCGAAGTCATCGACAACACTCTCAATCCTGACTTTGTACGCAAGTTCATCGTGGATTACTTCTTCGAGGAGAAGCAGAATCTCCGATTTGACCTGTAAGTGGAAGACAGGTGCTGAGGATTGAGCTAGGAGTGGGAGTGGAGGAGGTTAGAGGTGAGAGGTTGGGGGAATGAGGAACCAGACCTGGGAAGGTGGGAGGAGCTCAGGATAAATGTGATGATTAAATAGTGACCAGTTGAACCAATTAAGTGGTTCAGTGCTTCGCTGCTAATAGAAAGGTCAGTGGTGTGAACCCACCAGCAAGTCCTAGGGTGAAAGATATGACAGTACTTCCATAATCCCTGCTGGAAACCCAATGGGGTGGTTCCACCCTGTTCTTATAGGATTATTAGGAATCAGAATTAACTTGAGTGACAGTGGGTTTAGTTTGAGTTTAGTTGATCCTAGCCTCATTTCCCAACAGCATTTGCTAAGGGGTGTGTGTAGAAGAGTGAGGAAAGGTGCCACTTTGTCTCCCACCATTTGTCTTAGTTAAGTAGGGAGGGCATTGGTCCAACAGCCTGGCTCTGGGGAGTGCAGGTTGAAGAGAGACCTGTGGTTAGTTCTAGGCTCTGATCTGGGGAGCCCCTTTCTCTTGGTGACTGAGAGGGTCCCCCATGACTTTTCCCCTCTGTGGTTGATGAGGTTCAAGGCACCCTCATATTAATAAAAAAATGCCAACGCTCTCCTTGAGGTTCAAGATAATAGTAAAAATTCAGTCTTATGAGTGGGTGAGGGGTTGTTTTTGTGAAGTGTGAGGTGGTTAGAAACCTGTACTTTCCCAGAGAACTGTGGACAGGCAGGAAGGAAGGGTGTTTGGGGCCTGAGTGAGAAGAAGGCGAACATGACACAGAGGAGGTGGGTGGGTGAGGAAAGATGGAGAAACTGAAGTTGAGGAGCCCAGCAGAATCACCCAGAAATGCTTTCTGTGGGGAGAATGATTAGAAGAGGGGATTCTAGAAGAAGGGTTCCAGGTGAGTGGAGGGGTCCATGCTCAGGACTTAAGGCCTCTATCTTCAGGGACCAGGTCCAAGGACCTGCAGGGGAGACCTGGGCAAGGGAAGGTGGTACGGAAAGGTCAAGGGCAGGGCCAAGAGCTGAAGGGGGTGGAGAGAAGGAAGTGAAAGGCAGGGAGCTCAGGGCCTAGGCTGTGCCAGCACCTAATTACAGACCCGATGTATTTTCTTTTTAAAAATTTTGATAGGGTACTAAATGCATATACTGCAATTTTCCACACTTAGCATGCACACATAGACTCACTATACATAGAAAATGAATGTGAAAAGGGGTTTGAGCAGCTGGCAAAAAAAAAAAAAGATATAATGTGAGTGTGATTTCAGTAAAAAGTACAGTCTACAGCATCGTGCACAAATAGTACATGCACACCACATGGAGCCTTTTTGCATCTGTTTACACCCGTGTGGCCGCCTTCCAGAGGCCCTCTAGCAGTGACTGTGCCCCGAAATAACCACAGTTTCGTGGGGTGCCAGGGCCCAGCTGCCTTCCCTTTCTCTCTGTGTTCTTTACAGATACGACGTTGACTCCAAGAGCCCCGACCTGTCCAAGCATGTGAGTTCCGCCACTGCTCTGTGTAGGGCTCAGAAGAGGCTCGCACACCCCCATGCAGGCTGGCCTCAGGCTCAGTCATGGCACCAAATGTGTGTGTGTCTGCCACCTGCCATGTCAGAGCTCCTCACACTTCTGGGCCAAGGGCAGGGGGAGGTGGTGAGGCTGGGGAGCAGAGTGGGTGACACTGATCTTTGCTGTCCCCTGGCTATGCAGGATTTCCTGGGCCAAGCCTTCTGCACCCTGGGAGAGATTGTGGGGTCCTCTGGTAGCCGCCTGGAAAAGCCCCTAACGTAAGTCTGTGTGTGTGTGTGTGTGTGTGTGTGTGTGTAAGTGTGTGTGTGTTGCTGGGTCTGTTCGGGCTGTTTCCTCCATTCATTTGCCAACTTCTGGCACATCTCTGCTGGGTGCTGGCCAAGGCTCGGAGTTGGGACAAAGTAGCCAATCATGATGGACATATATAAGGCGATCAGGAATAAGGGTCACCATGGGCTCTGCCCTTGCTCAAACATCTTGGAAGCATTGAGGCTGGGCTATTAGTGCTAAAGCCCTGAGGGGGGCGGACACCCTGAGACACCATCTGATCCACTTTCACATCTTCACTTCTGCCATTATATAGGGAAAGGTAGTGAGGCCCAGAGAGGGCAAAGGACTTGTCCAAGGCTGCACAGCTAGGAAGTGGGGACTCTGCTCAAAGATCACCTTGCTTAGGTCGTTCACAGCTTGGTGCAGACCAGAGGCGGGTACCTCTGAAAGTCTTCATTGTAGATACCCAAGTGCTTTTAGGGGAAGGCTATGAGTCTGAGCAGGTTACAGTGGAGATGGAGGGAAATTTCAGAGACCAGCTCGAGTGGCCAGATGGTGAATGACCTTTCTTGTCCCTTTTTCTCAGGAAGCCCCCAAGACAAGGCCCCAGCAAGAGAGGAAATGAGGGATGAGTGTCCAGGCCCCAAGGCAGGGTGGGCAGGAAAGGAAGGTCAGCACCTCCAGGTTGCTCCTGCCAAGTTGCTCCTGGATGCTGATCCCTCCCCCACAATTGGTAACTGCTGAGTTGGAGGCTCTCTCTCCAGATCCATAACTTCAGTCAGGGTCTCTGAGAAAGTCTCTGGTTTTACAGCACATCATGATAATAGCTATCACTCGTCTAGGTTATTACATGTAGGTGATGTTGTTCTGTGCCGTTGAGTCAGCTGTGACTCACAGCGACTTCATGCACAGTAGCTCAGAACCCTGCCTTATCCTGAACCAATATCATTGTTTCTGACATTACTCCAGTTACTGTGTCTGTCAGTCCATCTTGTCCTGGGTCTTCCTCTTATACACAGAGCCTTCACTCTTCTAAGCACCTTCTCCATGAACTGGTCCCTCCTGGCAACATGCCCAAAGTATGTGAGCCAGAGCTTCAACATTCTTGCCTCCAGAGAGGAACTTGATTTCACCTTCTCCAGGTCAGACCTATTAGTTCTCTTGGTATGTTTGGTATGTTCTTGGTAAGTTCCATAGTATGTTCAGTACTCTTCTCTGGCACCAAACCTCAAAGACATCGATTCTTCTTCTGTCATCCTTAGTTATTGTTCAATTCTCAGATGCATAGCAAGTATTGTTAAGACCCTGGCCTCAATAAGGCACACCTTAGTCTTTAGACTGATAGCATTGCTCTTCAGTACTCTGGAGAGGTCTCTGATAGCAGATTTTCCTAATGCAGTTCGTCTCTTGATTTCCTGACTGCTGGTGCCAAGATTGTGTAACTGAGCAAGATGAAACTGTTAACAATCTCAGTCTTTTCTCCATCAGTTATGGTGCTGCCAATTGGCCCAGTGGTGAGAATCTTTGTTTCTTGATGTTGAGCTTCAATTCATATTAAAGACTACAGTCCTTGACCTTCTCTAGCACACACTTCAGGTCCTCATCAGTTTTGGCAACAAGGTTGTGTCATCTGCATAATACAGGTTGCTGATGAGTCCAATCCTGATGCCACTTTCCTCCTCATAGAGCTCACCTCTCAAATGATCTGTTCTGCATACAGATTGAAAAGGTATGGAGAAAGGACACATCCCTAACACACTCCTTTCTTGATTTTGAACCATGCAGTGTTTCCTTGCTTTGTTCTGATGACTCCTTCCTGGCCTAAGTATACGTTTTGGATGAGCATAATCAAGTATTCTGGAATTCCCATTCTTCTCAATATTAGCCACCATTTGTTGTGATCCACACAGTCAAATGCCTTTACATAGTCAGTGAAACACGGATAGACATTCCTCTGGTACTCTCTGCTTTCAGCCAACATCCATCTGACATTGGCAGTAATGTTCCTAGTGCCACAGCCTCTTCTTAACCAAGCTTGTATTTCTGTCAGTTCTCTGTTTCTGTACTTTTCCATTTGTTTTTGAATAATATTCAGCAGGATTTTGCTTGTGTGTGATATTAGTGGTATTGTTTGATAATTTCTACACTCTGTTGGCTTACCCACCCACCTCCAACATTGTATGTAGGTTAGATATCACTTGTTGAGGGGCTGATCTGGGTTTGATGGGGCAGGTTTAAAGCATATATAACTTGTGGGGGAAGAGCTCTTTAAATAAACAATTAGAAATTAAAATTTAGTAGGGCCCTCCTTGGCAATTTTGGATTTGTTTTCTGCCTTGGGAGGGCCTGGAGAGAGTAAGTGAATGAACTCAGGAACACCTGCCCTGTTTGCTTGGTTAAGTCAGATTTTTGTTGTCATTGTTATGAGATGCCGTTGAGTATGGAACTAACCCCCAACTTCCAGGCCCCTATGCACAACAAGTAAATGCTGCCCTGGTTGTAGCTGGGACTGTTGGAACTCATTAACCAGTTCTCAGAAGTAAACCACCAGGCTTTTTCCTTTGTTAAATCTCCTGAAGGCAACTATTTTGTTTGTTTTTAAATTAGGGCCAGGCCTGAAGGCCAGTTATTTGCTCATGCACTTCCCTCAGCAGTGTCCTTAGGTGACAGCATCATGCCCCTCCCTGTTTCATACTCAGGACACTGGGTGAGGTTCAGTGAGGTGGAACAGTGGTCTTCAAACAGCAATTTGCACCAGAGCCCCCTGTTAGAGCAGAGATTGTGGGGCTCCCAGCCCCAGAGTTTCTGATCCAGTGGGGCACTGCAGGGACCTGAGGATTTACATTCCTAACCATCCCCAGGTGCTGCAGCCATTAAGGTAGAGTCAGGAAGCTGTGGTGGCCTAGTGGTAAGAAGCTGCACTGCTATCCCAAAGGCTCGCTGTTCAAATCCACCAGATGCTCTCTGTGAGAAAAGGATGGGCCAGTCTCCTTTGGGATTTACTGCCTCTGAAAACTTGCTGAAGAGTCAGCTACAAATGGTTCCCAACTCAATGGCAAACAACATGGTAGAGTCTCTTGCCCAGAGTTTCATGACAAATTCTTCCAGCAAAATCTGAGATGAAGATCTTTCCCCTATGGGCCCTGAGACTTTCAGTCTAATTTTAGCTTCCAGAATAGAAGCCAGTTTCTATGCAGATACTGAATGCTGTGGCCTTGCAGAACAGGCTCTGCTCATGGTGCACTCTCTGTATTCTCTCCACAGGATAGGAGCTTTCAGCCTGAACTCCAGGACCGGCAAACCCATGCCAGCCGTGTCCAACGGGTAGGTCAGTGGACATCTTGGGCCCAGAAGCTGCAGACACTTATCTGGTCCAGTGGTGGGGGTCGCTTCACAGCCTGGCCTCAGCCCTTGTTCTCATCAAGTGAAGTCAACCCCATGGGGGAGGGGGAGGGACCATTATGGTCCTGGGACTGAAGAAATCAGCACTTCAGGCCCCAGATCGAGGCTGACTCTGCACTTGGCAAGAGCGGTTAGAGCGTGAGCATCCCAGGACCCTCACAGGATTTCAAGGACCAGGGATGAGGGGCTTCTACTTGTGCTGTTTTCTGGAATCAGAAGAGCTGGGCGCTCTCCCTTCTCACCATGGGCTAGTTTCTCAGCCACCCACCTCCAGCCCTCCTCTCTCTTCCTCCCTTCTCCTGACCCGCTTCTCCTCCTGTTGCTTTCTCTGCTGTCTGTGAACTCCCCTCAGCAGATGCTCCGAATGGCCATTTCTCACTTGCGCATGAGCTGTGATGAGCTGGGGGTTTTTTGCAGCCTGCTCTGACTTGGCTGGCCTCGTGCAAATGTGGGCAGCACAGACTTTCCCATCCCTTCTCTGCTGGGTGGAGGGTCCCCAACCTGGCTTCTTCTCCACCTCAGCTGGGGCCAGGGCAGGGAGCCCACCCCACCTAAGGGCCTGCCGGGAGGTCCTTCTAGCAGATGGGCTTTGTGGCTGGGTAAGCAGAGCCCTGCTGGTTGTTGCTGAGGGTTCCTAGGAATTGAGATTGAAGCAACCAGATTGGCCACTAGAGTACCTGGACATGAGGAAGGGACCCCCAGGGGATTTAGCACCCCAGAAAGAAGTGGATGCTCATTTATAAGAAAATAAATAAGTGGCTCTTAGAAAGGAAGGAGGGATCGGGGAGAGAAACAGAGAGAGAAAAAGACTGCGGGAGGAAGAAGGAAGTGAGAAAGGAAAGCTAGGCAGGTGGGAGCAGGTGAGATGAGGAGGGGAGGGGAAGAAAAGATAGGAAATAGAACTGAGAGCCTAAGAGGAACAGATGGGGACACACAGGGCGGGGGAGTCTGTGTTGAGGATTCTGCCTCCTTGGTCAAACAGATCCCATCTTTACTACTGGGGAGGACCATCGCTGGGGCAGGGAGAGGTTTGGGGTACCCAGCAGCTGACCAACTCTAGAGGGACAAGCTGGCAGGCCACGCACCTGCCTGGGGTACCAAAGCCTCGAGCACGGCCCTTGCTCTTCTCATCTGACTTTGAAGAGATGTGGTCAACCCATCAGCTCTTCCAAGCGGCATCCCTTAGTCTGAGAGCCTCTTCTTCCAAAAGCTGGTGCTGGGAAGAGCTCCATCAGTGGTTCTCAAAGTGTGTTCCACAGACAGCTTGCTGGTGAACCCTAGGCTGACCTGAGATCTAAGACTGGACTGTTTATCAGGCTGTATATTAAGGAGATGGGGGCAGGGAGGGGTGCTAGCTGAGGGCTTTCTGAGCCAGGCAGAGAGAGAGAGAGAGTGTGTGTGTGTAAAATAATGTGAGACTATGATCACACCCATTTTATTGATGAAGAAACTGAGTCCTCGTAAAGAACTCAAAGTCCAGAGCTGCTGGACAACTTGACATTTCCCTTTCCTTCCCAGAGTCTGTCCTGGGACCTCCCTAGATTAGTCCCAGATACCACAGGTGGAATAGGCTGGACTCTTAGAGGGAAAATCCCCACCTGGCCCAGGGAAGAGGGGGTGCAGGTCCCTGAGGTAGAAACGTCCTCTTCCTGAGAAAATGACCCGGGCAAACTGACTGTGCCTTTGAGGAGCTCACTGGTTGCTTGGGTTCTCCTTTTCCCTAATAGAGACCCCAGTTAAAGGGACCTTGGGGAGGTAGCCATGAAAGGCAGCTATGCTGAGAAGATTCCAGCACCCAGTTTTGCTCTCCCTCCAGTGATGACTCAGAGCTGGGCCACTTGCTGGGGAGGCTCTGGGGTCAGCTGGGTGTGGGGTGGGGTAGCTAGCCCACAAGGTCTTTTGCCCACAGAAGTGGTCTTTGGATGGAAAGTTTGAGAACCACTGGTCTGGAAGCCTCCGGGTGAGTCTGGATGCTTTTCCGTTCTCGGACTTTCACTGCCAATGTGCTGCCCTTCTTGCTGGGCTCTTGGGAGCAGGGGGCGGGCAGCTGCAGGTCTGGGAGCCTGGCCCCAGGGAGCAGAGCACCAGGCCACACTGCCACAAGTGTTGGAGGAGGCTCTGTCTCCTCAGGGACTTCGGGGTAGATCTGCCAGATGGCGAGGGTCTGGGTGGGAGGCGTGGGGCCCGCTTGAGGTGCATTCAGGTTTGTGCCTCAGTCTTTGTGTGGCTGGCTCTCCATTCTTGCATCTTCTCCCCTAGTGGCGTTCCAGGGAAGAAGTGTGGCACCATCATCCTGTCTGCTGAGGAGCTCAGCAACTGTAGGGTGAGTGGCAGAAGGGCCCTGGGTAGGACCGGGTCGGGGTGGTCTCCTTGGAAGGCAGTGAGGTAGCCAGGCCCTCTCTTCCGACAGCTGTCACGGAAGTCTGTAATATCAAGATTCGATGATGCCTTCCCCTTGTGCAGCTAAGTAGACAAAGACTCAGAGGGACCAAAGGACTTCCTCACAGTCTGCAGCGAAGCTGGGCCGAAAGCTCTGGTCCCCTGGCTCCAGTGCCATTATCTGCATCACTCGTGTGTCCCCGAGCCAAGACTGCGTTGGCAGCGACATTGGCTGGCGGAGGGGCCTTTTCAGCTTTGGAGTCTGGGCGCTTGGCATTTAGTTGTCATTTTTTACTTTTAGCTCTGGAGTAGGAGACACCTCTGTGGTGTGGTGGAGGAGGGGTGTGTGTGTGTGTGTATGTGTGTGTGTGTATGTATCTGCACACACACTGGGAAGCCAGATTCTGCAATTCCAAGCAGCCTTCGGTTGCACTGCTTTTGTGGGAGAAGCAGGAGATAGGAATGACAAAAGGGGGAACTGTTACCCTGGGAAGGGGCTCAGAGGACCTGTTGACTCATAACAACAGTGCACTCTGATGATCTCATTCTCAATTATTTATTGCCATCAAATCAGAACCAACTGACAGCTGACCCTCCTGGGGTATTTCAGATAGAGGCTTTAAATAGCGTGGGAGGAGATTGTCCATCTTTCTCCCAAGGAGCTGCTGGTGGATTAGAACTACCAGAGAGGTCCCACCTTTAGATTAGCAGCACAACTTCCCTACACACCATGACACCAGAGCCCCTATGTTCTAATAGTAGTGATTATTTGTCAAGCAATGAGTGTTTAACATATGTTGCCACTACTGACAACAGTCCTTAGGAAAAGCTCAAATTCATTGCTATTGAGTTGGAACCAACTCTTTTTTTTTTAACCAACTCTTAAGCGACCCCTCCAGTGGGTTTTCAGAGGCAGTAAATTGCATGGGAGGAGCTTGCTGTGGAGTTTTCTGGGAGGAGCAGCAGGTGACTTTGAACCACTGACCTTTGAGTTGACAGCACAACTCTCTACCCATTAGGGCTCCCTTATCCTAAGAAATCGATTTGTATTTCTGTTATCTCTTTCTTACAAATGGGGAACATGAAGGCCAAAGAGGTTAAGTTAGTTTCCTGTGCAATGACAGGTAGAAGAGACCAAACTGATCCAGGTCAGCTTGATTTTAAAACCCAGCTCCATTTTCCCAAGCTAATTGCATTGGGAAAGTCAGCTGGGAGGAACCTCTCCAGAGTACTGAAGAGCAACGATGTCAGGCTGGAGACTAAGGTGCACCTGATCCAGGCCATGGTCTTTGCAGTTGGTGCTATGCGTCAGAGAGCTGGACAATGATTAGGGAGGATAGAAAGAAAATTGATGCCTTTGAGCTGTGGTGCTGGAGAAGAATGTTGAATATAACATGGACTGCTAGAACAAACAGGTTCATCCTAGAGAGGGTGAAGCCTGACTGCTACTTGGAGGCAAGGATTCTGAAGCTTCTTCTGACATACTTTGGGCATGTCCTTGGAGAGGGACATCATGTTTGGGAAGGTGGAGGGACAGTGCAGAAAAGGAAGACCCTCAATGAGATGGATCAATTCAGTGACTGGGGTAATGGGAGCAGGTATGTCAGAGACAATAAGGTTGGCACCGGATAGAACAGGGTTTAAGGCTCTTGTACATAGGGTTGCTACGAGTCACAAGCAATTTGACGGCACATAACAACAACAACAACAACACAGTTATGAGTGCTTGTTAGGGAGCTCTGGTGGCCTAGTGGCAAGAAGCTGTGCTGCAATCCCAAAGGCACCCTGTTCGAGGCCACTAGCTGCCCCATGGGAGTAGGATGAGCAGTCTCCTCCCGTGTGATTGACTGCCTCTGAAAACTCACTGGAGGGGCAGCTATGGGTCGCTTTTGATTCTACGACACAGAGCAACAAAGGTTAATTAGGGAAAGTGGTATGTTTTGGGGGGAGAAAGAGGAGGCAGCACAGAATCAGGGAGGGGAGCCTGGGCTTCCGAAGGGGCTGAAGTGACTCAGAGGAGCAGCTGAGAAAGATGAGGGGGAGAACCAAGATTGTCTGATGTTCCTGGGGGCGTCAGTGTGGCTATTGTAGCAGTTATCTGTCCAGCGTCTAAAGTATCAGACATACAAACTGAGAAAATAAGATGTAATTAGTTTAAAAATAACAGTAATTCAACCTGTTACATGTTAGCATAAATAACAACTTTTTGGGGAAAAAAAACCCAAACTCAATTTTCCAAACCAAAAATAATTTCATGAGAATAGTGGCCTCATATTACATCTTTACAAATCTCATTGGTGTCTGGCTGATAGAAGAGGACACACACTGTTTGTATATTTTTAATCAGCTGTTTCTTACATAAGGTAACCACCAGAAAACTGTGCATCTTCATACCATTATGTAAATAATTTTGACCTCATTGATCCCTGGTAGTCCCCAGTTTATGCTTTGAGAACTGTCGGTAGAGAGCTATAATTGTGTTACTCCTGCAGAGAAGACAATTTGATTCTATACGACAGAGCAGAACGACTGTCTAAGACTTCCAGTCCTTCAGAAGCAGGCTGCCTCGTCTCTCTCCTGTATGGCAACTGGAAGATTTGAACTGCTGATCTTTTGATCAGCAGCCGAGTGCTTTAACCACTCTTCCACCAGGGCTCACTGTTGTTATTCAGTGCCATCAAGTCAACTACAACTTACAGCACTGCTGTGAACGGCGGTCTGAACCCTGCCCTGTCCTGACCATCCTCACCATGTCTGATGTCCTTCAGCTCATAGTTACAGTCACTGTCAATCCATCTTACTGAAGGTCATCCTCTCTCTTGCTGATCCTCTGCCTTTCTTAGCATAAGGCCTTTTTCCAAGGACTGGCCTCTCCTGACAACATTCCCAAAGACATCCTTGGAGATGAAGTTTCCCCATTCTTGTCTCTCAGGAGCACGGTGGTGGTTGTGCGTATGTGCTGTCTTGTTAACTATGACTCACAGTGACCCTGTGAACTAGGACTCGGAACTTTGCTCCATCCTGAGCCAACCTCCGAAGCACCTGACCCTCTGACTTCATTGCCACAATCGCTGTCAACCTCTGTTTCAGCCAGCAAGGTTGTGTCATCTGCAGATTGTTGATGAATTGTCTGTCTTCCTCCAATCCTGATGCCACATTCTTCTTCATTAAAGTCCAGCCTCTCAAATGTTTAGCATATAGATTGGAAAGATAGGGAGAAAGGATACATCCCTGACACATGAATGGAGCAATTATTCTGAATCAGACACTGTACTAAGTGGTTTGTTGTTGTTGTTATGTTCCATCGAGTCACCTGAGTCTCATAGCGACCCTACTATGTACAACAGCCCTAAGCTCTGCCTTATCCTGTGCCAATCTCACCATCTCTGACACACCTACCCCCATCACCCCAGTCACCATGTCATCGAGGGTCTTCCTCTCCTGTGCTGTCCCTCCACCCTCCCAAGCATGACATCCTTCTCCAAGGACTGGTCCCTCCTTGCAGCATGTCCAGAGTATGTCAGATGAAGCTTCAGAATCCCCGCCTCCAAGGAGCAGCCCGTCTTCACCCTCTCCAGAACAAACCTGTTCGTTTTCCTAGCAGTCTATGGTATATTTAATTCTCTTCTCTAACACCACAGCTCAAAGGCATCAATTCTCCTTCTATCCTCCCTAATCATTGTCCAGTGCTCTGATGCATAGCAAGTGATTGCAAAACCATGGCCTGTATCAGGCACCCCCTCGTCTCCAGAGTGACATCTTTGTACCTCAGCACTTTAGAGAGGTATATGTATTCTTTATTTGATTTGTTCTGATGTATCCTCAGATGTAATGTCATGTAGCAAAGTGTCTCATGTGCTGTGGTTCCCATATTACAGATGATGATACAGAGACATGACTGGTTTGAGGTTACACAGTCAAAGAGTAGAAGTGCTGAGATGTGAACTCGGGCAGTCTGGTTCTAGAGCCAGGGTCTTAAACCACTAGGCTGTTATGTCATAGACCCACTGCTCAGGCATTTAGAGTTGAAGAATAAGATATGAATGAACTGGAACTTGTCTCACCACCAGTAACCATATTTTGGCCAAACAGTAAAACAATACAGTGAATGGTAAGAAACACACTCTTCTGAGCAGTCAGCCATACGTTTGGGGCAGCATTTGCCCAAAAACAAAACTAAGAAGGGGTAAGAGAGAAGGATAAATAGAAATTGGGAACCCAGGAAATAGGAAGACTGCTGATGGGTTTGAACCATTGAGCTTTCAATTAGCAGCCAAGCACTTAACCTCTGTGCCACCATGGTTCCTCCTCCATATGTACCATGGAACTAAATAGGCGTAAAGGACACAGGGAAGGCTGCTGTGACCAGGACACATCTGACTTCTTGTGGGTGCCTTGCAGAAGGCACATTGAATCTGAATTCCTGGAGGGCTAAATATGGTTTTGTTCTGATCTAGCAGGTGACTTCCTCCCCAGTTTATTCATAAACAATGAAATAATACAAAGGAAAGTGCCTGGGAAATGCTAAAGCTCTAGACAAAGCTGGCCCGGTATTGCAGTTGATGAACAGTCTGTGTTTAATACCGATTAGCCTTCCCCTTCTCTCCTCCTCATTCATCTCTCCCTGCTGGCACTTTTCTTGATTTAAGCTGTTGGGCTCTGGGGGCCTCCCTGCCTCCCTCCCTTCTGAGACTGTCAGCTCCCTTTTCTTTTAGGGCATCTTTGCCTGGGTTCTGTCTTTCCCTGGAACACTTGCAAGGAAAAGAAACTAATTCTTAGCATCTGGCTGAATTAAAATAATTACATGTGAACGGGCTTTGCTTCTGCCGCTCTGCATTCAGTGGGAGGATCAAAGGAAGAGGGTGGAGTCTGGGAGACAGTTTTTCTCCAGAGCTGGGCTTCCTGCTCAAATGAATGCAATCTGCAGAAGTCGACACACGCACC